ACACACCGACCGACGCAGTGTTGTTGTGCTACACCGTAATACCGGCAGCGACGGTAACTCCACACTCTATTTTTACGCGCAGGTGATGCGCATGTTCCGATCCGTGTGTCGCCGATCGCAACCTAATTCCACAAACCACTAATCGTCACCCTGCAAACATTGCCCCCGATGCACGGTTTCCTTTCCTGCAGCTTCCGTGTATACGGGGTTGTGGGTATTTTCTCCGCCGGGTGTGGCGCCGTTGGCCTTTGCTGGGGTGACGAAGCCTCGTGTTCTCGGTCATATGAGCTCACGATGTTGCGGATTACAGTATAGATCGGCGCCGAGAGGGACCACCTTCATGGGTTGATAGGGTTGCAAGGGATCCGCATACGAGATCGAAAGACGTATAAAGAGTGAGATGCAGTACCTCACAATCTACCAACACAATCTACAACGACATCCAACCTTCACTTTCCAATTCACTCAACGAACCATCAAACATACCTCAACATGAAGTACGCCACCGCCACCATCGCCGCCGTCACCATGGCTCTCGCATCCGCAAAGGACTGCAACCTGCCGCCCATTTCTGAAGCCGTCGTCCCCGGCGACGTCTTTAAGCTCGTGGCTCTCCCCAAGGTAGCCAACGAGATCGAATGCGAGCCCTTCCAAGCCAAGAACAACAACCTCCTGATCGGCGATGACTTCCAAAGCGCAAACTGCACCACCCGACTCCCCCGCGACCACGCCTCCTTCGTCCTCAACGGCCAGGGCCTCTTGTTCCTCTACACCGGCGACACTCCCGACAACTTCGAAGCCCAGCAGATCTTCGTCGACCGCTCCGGCATGGGCCAGGGTAACATCCAATACGGTACCGGTCTCCCTCTACAGATTGGCAAAAACCAGGAGTTGGGTCCTTTCAAGATCACCGAGACGAGCGACTTGGTCTTTGATAATGGCAATGGTGCCGTTACGGCGTTCCAGGCTTGCCCCCCGGCTGACGGGGACAAGTTGACAGGATGGAACGTTTGGCTTGCGGGCAATGACAAGCCGGCTGGTAGTGAGGGTTGTGTTGGGCTGAATGCTAGGGCGGTTAAGGAGACAAATCCCGAGGCTTGCGAGTACTCTGTTTACAACGCTTAGAGAAGTGGTTGGTGATGATGAATGTTTATAGATGTGATGATAATGCAACAAGTTCGGATCACTATCGTAATCTCTTATCTTAGTCGTTTGCTTATTACCTTTAATGGAAGGAGTTTACAGAGATGGGTTAATCGACTTGGTTCCAGCGGAATCCTTGTTAGTAGATTCTTAACAGTGTAGGATTATGTGCAGAAATTCACTAACACAAGGTGTCGCGAGCGTAGAAACTCTAGACAAGACTTACACAGATGTAAGAGCGAACTCCAAGCTTAGCACACTTAAGCGGATTTGCGTCATCAATCGCAAGGCCCCTCTCAGCATATGTGCATCGTTAAGTCTTAGTAGGTTCGTTCCCATCGCCAGTTCGTCGCCGCTGCAGCACAGGAGCGCAGTGCGAGCGCACCTCAGATCTTTCAGCACCTTAGCAGATCAGTGATTCTTTAAGTACTGAGATGCTTCAAAGGAAGCTTATCGTCTTCTGTCTCACATCCGCTGCTGTTCTAGCTGACCTCCTCTTATATGCCCTCGATGCGACTACATTAGTAGTAGCGACACTAATAGGCGCCCATCCAGTTGTCTTCTTAAGCCATTGCTGAACATCATAGAGCATTACGTCGGATATAGTCGGTGCTCGGCTGAAGTTGTCCCAGGCTCTTATCTCTTATCTCCTCGCCGTCACGGTCACCTCACTAGTTCTGTAGTCTTCGCTCTTGCAAAAACCATTAGGGTTGTTGTTGCAGGTTGTTTTCCACGAAGCCTAGGTGGCTGAGGCTCAGAAATGCTTAGTTAGATCATTTATACTAACATATCGATGCTGTAGGGGTTTCCACTATAATTGAACTTTTGGCCATCCCTGATGCGTTAGGTAGCGTCTTGGGACCGACTGTCAGCGGTAGGTTTAGTAGTCTCGTTAGCTGGTGCTGGATTAGACAAATTAATATGCCACTTCTTGTGATCTCCTTCTCTGTTCTAGTAACATGTGCACTACTCGTGGTACCGGGTGTCGTGAGAGTCAATGTGGTCGGCTTGGCCAACATCGGATACCGTTGTAATGTTCGTTTCTCCTGGTCTTCCACGGCTGCAGGATCTCGTCTACTCATTCTATTGGGTGTTGATTCAACCACCACGATCGCCTGCCGTCTACCGATGGCGTAGGGTACCGACATTGGCCTTTCGCTCCGCTTGCTCTTTGCTACACTATAAGCAGGCGAAGTTCGCACTGATGATACCGGACTAGTCACTGGTATACTCTTGACCATTCTTCATCTTGAGGGGCTTGTCGGGTTATCGATATGCTCCACAAAATTCAGCAGTTGCTTCTGAAGTTCTCTCGACACGTTTAGTAGTCTACTAATATCTTTGGAACATCTGCAAGACCCTGGAGCTACAATAGCATTCATACCGCAACCAAGGGCGCTTGACTTGCCAGATACAACCTCGAGCTTATTATCCATGCCTATCTGGTCTGTGATAGAGCAGTTATGCAGGCAATGATTGGTTTTGCAAGCTTGGGTTTTTTGTCGTCTCTCTATTCGTGAGCTGACCCTAGACAGGAGTGAGTTGAGATAGTAGCGATTTGGAGACTGAGCAACCACTTCAAGAGTAGAGAGGGATGCTGCTTCGTCGCGAAGCGGTGGAACAGCATTCACATCAAGCGTTTCGTAGTAGCACACTAGTAGCAAGCTCAATATGTTGCGATACCACCGATGATCACATGTGCAAGATTTCTGTTTGGAGCGATGCGTGGCTTCCGAGCGTGTACCGGTAGCCGAAGCTTGAGAAGATCACCTTGTGTCTGGCCCGTGATGTATCGCAGTTAGCCGATGACCAGACTTCCAAGGTTCCATCATAATTGCATGTGCGGTCAGCCAATTTCACGAAGAGGTAAATCTACAAAGTCGCAGAGTTGTCTCCACCAACTCCTTTATGTGCAGCGCATCACATCTAGTCATAACCCTGGCACAGCGGCCGCCGTTATGTCGCCATGCTCGCCGAGCGGAACCCGTCCAATCCAGGTTCACCAAATCGGCCCGCAGGCACTCAAGCGTCCAGCACTTGGGTAGCATGGATGTGGTTTAGCCCATTGAATTGTGCTATCGGCAACGGCTATACGTAATCGTCGGCTATGGCAGCGAAAGTCGACGGCAAGATCGTGGATGACTGTCCACTGTGGCTGACCGCTGTGGCTGAGGCATCAGCATCGCGGCATACTGGAACCATCTGTAATCGAGTGGCGTCGCGCAGCATCGTCGTAACCAAGCTCTTACAATCTACACCTAGACAAACACGAATTCACTCACTTGAACTCAGTTGCGATCTCTTCTTGTATGCTCTCGATGCATCAATATCATCTCTTGTGACCGACTATGACTACATGGTCGAGCGCATAGACCTTTATCAAGACTTCAGTCAACAGTAATTTCATCTCGTTCCAGGGTCAATTGCAGTCGTTGTCGTGGGCAGTCGCGTGTGAATCGCGGCCAGTGAGCCGGCGCTGCAGCGTTGATTGTGGTACACCATATGCTGGACCGGTTTGTCACTGATTCCTGAAAATGCTGGGATCGAGATCATAGAATAGGTTCCGCGAAGCAGCCTCATAATCATCTATCGATAACGTTGTGACTAAGTTGGGCAGCTCCAAAAGTGGGCGGCAGTTGTGACGGAGGCGGCAGAGAAGTTGCGGACACTGATGTGGCTTACGCTAGACTGGATTGAGCGATGGATCTTGCTAGCACTAGCGCAGGGGAATATCAATGCCAGTTATTCGCTCGTTGCCGCCAATGCTCCGGGGTGCGGTACCCCAGAAAACCTTGTCGATACGCGTGGGCCCTATGCACTTGCTTTTTCGTTCACTCCAAGGCAGGTAGGGGATCTGATTCAGCTGCTGCTTCGATGGCTCGAAACCGCGTTTCTATGCAGGAACAACTCGGCATTTGTATCCGAATCATATCGACTCGAGCGCTAGGGACTTGATCGTGCGCTCGAAACTGAGGAAATAAGAAAATGTCATTTCCAATCTCTCGGGGACATAGGGCCGGAAGGCTTGATCTGGCGTAAAACCCGCCCGTCTGCACCCATGAATCCGGATAACGACCCATGCGGCTGAGGCCGAGTAAGTGTCAATCGATTGATCACACTGATTGCGCGTCAGCCCATCACTAGTCGAACTTTATTCGCAAAGTCGTGCCTCTTAATCGGTGAACAACGTCAGCTAACATTGTGATAACGTTACCAAAATGCAGTCTGCTATGAAGAGGAGCGGTTCATGCGAGTCATCCTTTGTACTAGTAGTCTTGGACAGATAAGTGAACCTTGGAAGCCTCTCGCGAAGACATGCAGCTATGGCGCCACCAATCCTGGCATTCAGGCGTGACATCTGCACAGGGCCAATGAAAGCGCGCTTGCACCTGGACACAATTGCCAGGCCAATCAGCGCTCGAACCTAAGCCGGGGAATTCATTCCGTCCCCCTATGGTGAACAAGATCATCGCTATGGGCGACACCTCCAGAATGCGCCACAAATCCTAGAAGCCCATCTAAAGCTCATCAAGTGCCGTGAGCGAAGACGTCTAAAAGATCCCATGGAAGATGTAGTCGGTTCTGGAATGCGAAATTCGTCTTCATCCTCGTCCTCTGATTGCCTTCAGCAGCAGATATTAGTCTGCCAAACGCGACATTCCTCAACCACTTAGTTCTCAGTGCGAATTCTTTCTCTACCTTCCGCTGATGGGGCATACCTAGCCGCCGATCTCCTCGACGTTGTTCTAACAAGCACATGCGCGAACACAACGCGGTCTTCGCGTTCAGCCATGGCAAAAGAGGAGGACGTGGGCGTGGTCGGAGGGGTAAATGCATCGTTCCCAATCCTCATGACGATGGTCGCATTCTTATCCATCGCGCTGTACAACGTCATCGAACTTACCTTTCTCGTCTTCGCCATCTTCAAAAAGCGTAGCGGGCTATACTTCTGGAGTTTTGTCGTGGCCACTTGGGGTATCGCACCTCATGCTGTTGGATTCATCCTGAAGTTTTTTCAGGTCACCACACTAGACCTGCTATCGAGCGCGATAGTGGGCATAGGCTGGGGATGTATGGTGATAGGGCAATCTGTCGTTCTCTATTCGCGTCTGCATCTCGTTATCCGAGATCGGTCTCAGACACGTTGGGTAAAATATATGATCATCTTCAACGCTATCGTCCTCGGGATTCCGCTTCTGGTTCTAGCGATGGGTACAAACTCTCAGCAATCGGCTCGTTTCCTGCCAGGGTTTTTGATCTACGACAAGGTCCAGATCGTGGTGATCTGCGTCCAAGAGTTGATAATATCCATCATCTACATCTACGAAACGGTACGTTTGCTGGGGCACGACACTGATAGCAACGGCCGCGGACCTCTACAAAAGCTACTCAGACACCTCATCTTCGTCAACATTGTAGTCCTGATCCTCGACATCACCCTCCTTGCTGTCCAGTTCTCAGGTCACTACGAGATTCAAACAACGTACAAGACGGCTGTATACAGCGTCAAGCTCAAGATTGAATTCTCTGTCCTTAATCGGCTTGTCAGCATAGTGGAGCACAAACACAATGGTGGAAATCCCGGTATCAAAACCCTCTCTTTGGGCCCATGGACTCAGAGCAGGAAGACACGCTTGAGCACCAAATTTGATGGCCCTGGTGCCTTTTCCAAGATCGAAGAGACTAGCTCGTCAGATAACAGGGGGAAGGACTCATTCGTGGGACATCTAGAACACATCTCCGCCAGGGAGGGGCGTTGAAGGCGGGTGTATCGGACAAACAAATGTTTAGGAAAGAACTTGCTATCCCCTTCGTAGCTGATACATTCATTCCACGATCTTACCAGTCGCTGCACGAGATTTGTAGGAACGGTTGTCGAGTTACGCTTTACTAATGGAGTGCTTGGCATTCTGTGAAACGCAACTAGCGCCTTCAGACCGAGACCTTACAGCCTGGACCTTCCAAGAGTCTTCTAGTGACAGACAATCGCCAACCACTCTAACCATCTCTAGCTATCCTTGATTATGCGGCGCGTCGTCACACTGCGTACGATACTGGCAGAGCCTTCACAATGCTGGACTTCTGAACCCTCGGACTGACTACCAGCGTATTTTCTAACACGCTCGCTATAGCGGTGAAGACGCGCTGGAAGCCGTCCACGAAGCTATGAACAGTGGCAGCCTTACTCGGGTGAGCCTATGCTATTGCCTGAACGATGAGGACATAGCCCTCTGCGCCTCAGACGAGAGCTGCGTCTAGTCCTGATGCGGCTAGTTGATGGATTACGGCGGTTCAGAAAAGGTTCCCTGACAGCTCGGAGGCTAGTAAGTGCGCTACAACAAGATGCAGACTGGAGACAAGAGAGAACGTCTCGCGGCCCTGAGAGTCATCTTCACGCTGCGCGTAGGGCTGTACTGGCTGTCCGTCATTGCGCAGTTTCGTGGCTTACACACCGCCTGGATGCTAATGCTGACGTTTGTCAAGACCATATCACTGCCCATACAGAACACGACTAGTGCGCTGACCAAAGAGAAGCAACAGCATACACTCGACCGTGCCCAGGTGATAATAGAGAGATGTAGTCAATAGAGAAAATAATTATAGGCTACTTCGATCCGAAAATTCGTTTGGAGAGTCCCTGAACCTTTCTATCACTTACCAGTCGATGTATTGATAATAGAGTCGATAAGGACAGCTGCATTCGAGAGCGCCTCATCTGTATGCCTGTATCCGACTAGCTGGATAGACACTGGCGTATCTTTATAGAACTCTGGTCCTGTGTCTGGATCGAGCGATGGTCAGCAGGTGGGATATATGACGAAAACTGTACGTACATAGACTGTAAACTTTCGCATCTTCAGGCCCATACTTTGCGGTGTCGTTTTGTCTAACGCATCTGACGCTGCCACATCATCCATCGACAGGAATAACCACAGCCGGAAAGTCGAGATAATTCCAGAGACCGGTGTAGGAAGCGGTTGTCCAATGGTCAAGAAGAACGGCTGTATGTGGTGCAGGAGGCATGAGAATTGTATCTATTCGTAATCAAGAAACAAGCGCTGATATTGCTTCGCAGCCGCTGCTCGATGCACGTTCAGATTGCAGAGGCCTTCCAATGACGTTCCCTCGAAGTTCAAAAGCTGAATCGCTTTCAGTGAGGGTACCTCTGGCTCTCCAGTCCTGGCGAGCTGTTCGCGATAGTGCTGGAAGCAAATCAGTCAGCAACCAAGATCGTGGGGTATTGGCAACATATATCACTTCCCGGATACGAAAAGTACCGGAGTAGAGCATTGTAGTATTCCTTGGTGTTTGGCAAAGTGATAGGAACAAGCTCAATTTCACTGTTGTTACGAAGAAGGTCAGCAGCCTTCTTGAGGCCACGTCGAACAGGTGGTGACGGCGTATAGACGCCATCGTCCTCAACCAGGCCAATGCAGAGCTTCTTTTTGACTGGTAGATTCCGCCATGGCAGCGAGATGATTGTACTGTCGTATCTCCATGTCTCTGACTCCATGACAGTCCTCAAAAACAGCGCGCAATCCCGGATTGAGGTTGCCGTAGGCCCTACGGAAGAGCGTACTCCGTCAGCACCTGGTACTGTAAGGTTGCGAACTCCATCGTGAGGTATCAGTCCAACACTTATTCTGAAGCCGTAGATACCGTTGCAAAGTGCTGTAACACGTATGCTCCCACCAATGTCAGTACCGACGTCGAGTATACTCCCGCGTAGGGTAATGAGGACGCCTTCGCCGCCGGTGCTGCCACCAGCAGTCAAGGTAGGGTTGCGAGGGTTTAGTGTCTTGCCAAAGACGTTGTTGTCGCTATCGGCAGGTATGGTCAATTGTGAAACGTTTGTCTTGCAGTAAATAACAGCGCCTAGGTCGAGTAGCATGGCAGTAAGAGAGCTGTTCTCTTCTGCAGGCTCTCCAACGTAGCAGGCCAATCCAGTCGAAGAGTCATGGCCAGGGATGTCGAAGCTATCTTGAGCGAGATGGGTAAGCCCCAGAAGGGTGGAAGGACGTCACTGGGATTCTCTTTGCGTTCCTTGTCGAGGTGTCTGGCGCGTTCGATCGCCTCGCCGAAGAATATTACTGTGAGACAATTGCCCTACTTCAGAAGGTTAGTAACCATCCCAGGAAGCCCAGCCAGGTGACTGACTAGCTGTTGAGCAATAGCAGCCCTCTTGCAAAAGGCTGTAGTGACTTGCTCAGCAGACCAGGTTCCCTCCTTGAGCTTCTTGAGAAGCGTCGTGGCATCGAACTTTGAGGTGATGTCGCGTTCGACATCATTCAGAACGCCGTAGGTGACGGGAAAATGTAGAACGCTCGTGGCATTGCGTAGCGCTGAGTCGATCAGCCACTGTGGAGGAATCTTGTTATTTCTCTCGGTCTGGTTTCGAGCAGCGACAACACGATAGTCTCGCATTCTTAGAGACATGGCAGATGGAATTTGAGATGAGAATGTGGGAGTAGGTGCCTGCTTTACGTCTATCTTTCTACATCACTGTACTTATACCTTCCCAGGATGCCTAGGTAGAGTCGAGCTACTTAGCGACATCATGGGCGGACGAGCTTGTTTCGGCTTCCAAATATCTATTGAAACCCTCCGGTCCCGGTCGCTATGCCGCTATACGAACGAGAATAGATGATTTTGATGTAGCTCGAGCGTGATAGAAGGCACCATGTAGGGGATGAAAGACCAGCGGGTTCAGGTTACGATACCATACTGATCGGTAAGCGCTAGCATGAGTCATTTCACGCTAGGAAATCTCAACGCTCCAGTCAAATCTCCGGCCAAACCTCCGGTCAACAATGATCAGTATGTATCAAGCGTACCATTTGGTTCTTCAGACTTCGTTCATTCTCTCAGTTGGTCCCTTGCGCATCGATCGCGGCAAACTTCCTTACATCTAAAGTCATCCTATGCAGTGAGTCTTTGCAAATCTTAATTTATCGACGCAGCAAATCCTTCGGGGTTGGACGCGAGCTTGAATGGCAAAGGACACAGCGAATACACAGAAGCTCAGGATCGCATGCGACCGATGTTATGATCTCAAGGAGAGATGTGTTCGCGAGTGCATTACAGCGACTTGCGTCAGATGCGAGCGGTTGCGCTTGCACTGCTCGACTGACAGGCCAGTGCGCCCATCAGGCCGTCGACCGCAACACGGTAAGCAGACGGTTTCGCAGAGGAGCTCGACGTTACTCAACAAATCGGAACCAGCATCAAATGATGTGAGCACCAAGTTGCAATATGTTCCCGACTATTATCTTTGCGCAGAGGAGAAAGAGCTTTTAATGTTCTTGCTGGGTCAGCCTCAGAGAGTTCAGTCGCTAATCGTGCTCCGCAGTTTTGCAGTCATCGAACAACAGACACTAGCAGCTTTACTACCTTTTGCACTGCCAATACTCAAGCATGCTTATCTTGCATGCGCTGTCTGGCTCAAACCGCTCCAGTATGGCACTGGCGAAGAGGTCGCTAGAAACGCGGGAGTCCTTTTCGCGTCCCCTGCCATGAGCACATTGCGTACACTCTCTGTCACGACCGAGCAGGACGCCACTCTGTGCCTTGCTCTCGGGAATACATTGGCATTCTTCGTCTGTTCGAGCATTGGCTATGGCGTCGCAGATATCTGCCATTACTGCATTAGTGCAGTGAGCCCAATCATAACTTCTACGCCACCAAGTTTGCCTCTGGAGTCATGGAAAAGCTTCCTTGAACTTCTGGAGGTGATAGAATGTTTGATACATCGCCGGTCTCCAATATCAAGAGCACCGCAGTAGCTACAAGAGCGCGTGTATAGAAAGCTTGGCTTCTGCCTGACTTTACTGCCACACTTTCAGGATCTCTGCATCATCAGTCATTCCCTATCGAACGAGACCGATGGAGGTTGCATAGCCCGCATTCATGCTCAGCTGGACAAAATTCATACCGCCGTGGATGAGTGGATCCCGTCGCACGCACGTCAGATACTTGACCACTTCGACTACACTGAGCTCGTCCATCTTCTTGCACAAGCTAAGATTTACTGACTAGCTGCACTATTGGTGGCTCATAGGTTAAGACACGACTTCGGGAGCGAAGATGACAAGGCTGATGTCTGGTCAAAGGAAGTGATGAGGGAGCTTGAGCTTACGAAGCATATGGCGAAGCAACCGCTACGATTCGTCACGCTACGGTTCATAGTAGCAGCCATTGAAGTCAGAGGTACGGAAGCGTGGGTTAGCACACCGCAGGCGGTCAAACATTACGTCGATGGGTTTGCACCAGTCATCCGGCGAGCGACGACAACTTTCCTCTCGCGAATCTGGCATGAATGAGATATCACGACGACGGCTCGCTGGTTCGATTCAATTTCTAAGCCACTCGTTGTTCTGCATTCAATAAGCACTGCTCTCTGTGCCTGGGACTTGCGCGCTAAGGCTAAGCATTTGCGTACTACGTCCTACACTACGTGGGGTACAATAATGATAGTAGAGCCTGGAATGAGAAGGCAGACGGCAGGAAAGAACCTGATCCCCACGCACACGGGGCGATAGCCTCGAAGAGGCATGAGGCAGAGCGGTAGACAGTATAGTACAGCAAGGAGCTGCCGGACTGTGAGCGAAGATATGCCTGAGCGGCGGAGGCGTGCTCACCACGAAACCATGCACCGGTCCGCAGTAGAAGGCAATGAACGCGCTCCAGGTGGCTAAAAGTGACATTAGCAGTAAGCTGCGCAACCACAAGAAATCCTGCCATAAGAAGAAGGCGACGATGCTAACCACACGGCCGACAGTCAGTGGTGCTAGGTGCTGTACGACGTCCCGATTAGCAGACTAGTTATGCAGTCGGTAAACAGAGTCGCGCTGAACCAGTCTACGTGGCTTTATCTCAGTTTGAGCGCAAGACTAGACGGCATGTCGAGCTAGACATAAAAGCGCTCTGCGGCTAGGTTAAGCGCACAGAAGAGGAAACAGATGTACAGGTACTATCGAACCAACAGTCAAGCTACGTGACTCTGGGCACGACAATGGAAGAAGAACAAGTTGACTCCTCAGAGAAGACATGCCAAGGCTGGAGAGCATAAAATCACAGTGCGTCGCGGCAGATCCGCAATGTAACACATTCCCAAGGAGGAGCGATGGTAATTGTGTGAAAGTTCTACGAAATAAGATAACGTGCAAACCACTGCGAAACTGTTAAGAATCGGAGACTTCTGAAGTACATGATCAAGTATCTATGCTCGCGAAGCTGAAGATCTTGTTACCTGCCTGACTTCCCTCACGACTATGGTCCGCGGACACAAGCATAGGTATCTTTCCACAAGCCACTGCAGTCTGCCTTGACAGCCGGATTCCACTTGTAGAACTGCGCCATCGTGATCTTCTGGTAGCTCAGGACCTGCTGACATGTCGTAGAACCGCCGATAAAGTGCCACAAGGTACAGCCTTTGGTCATCCCCGATTGGATAGGTGAAGGTGTTGCGGGTCCGCTGGACGTCTGCGTAGGGGATGGTGTAGTTGTGGTCGGGGACTGACCGATGACACCAATGCATGCATATGTGCTGCCCCAGATGTTTGTGCATCCGCTATTCAATCCATTCCACGATATGATGTCTGCTACTCGGGCACCAGTCTTCTGGTTGATAACATCGCACGTATATCCTCCTTCAACAAAGAAGAACTTGTTACAGTTCTTCACTATTCCTGGCTGAACTGGCGTTGGCGTCGATACGCCATTGCCGGACTGGGTAGGACTTGGAGAAGATGAGAAAGTGGACGAAGTCGAGCCACCAATTACGCCGATGCAGGCATAGGTGTCGCCCCAGATGTTGGTGCATCCGCTGTTAAGTCCATTCCATGCAACTATATCGGCTACTCGCGCGCCAGTCTTCTGGTTGATAACGTCGCATGTATCTCCTGATTCAACGAAGAAAAATTTGTTGCAGTTCTTTACGATCCGTGGCTGCACAGGCGTCGGAGTCGAAACACCATTGCCAGTCGGAACTGAAGTGGTAGGAGAAGGGCTGGGTGAGCCACCGATTATGCCTACGCAGGCATATGTGTCCTGCCATAAATTGGTGCATGCATTGTTGAGTCCGTTCCACGCAATAACGTCGGCAGTGCCTATGCCATACTTTTCAGCCATTGTGCCGCAGTTGTCTCCCGATTCGACTAAGTGGAAGGTCTTGCAGTTGCTCACCATCCCAGGGCGAATGGGCGAGGGTGTAGCCATGCCGTTACTAGAAGTCGGAGTGGCACTGCTAGCAATGACACTGGAAGTGGTTGGTTGGACGGAAGAAGGTGACGACGTGGGCTTGGAAGTGGGCGTGTTGGCTTTGGAACTCGATGAGATAGGTGTGCCGGACGTTTTCTGGGTCGTTGTTGGTGCGGGCTCCTTGACAGCCTCGACGCAAAAGCTATTGCCGGACACAAGGCCAGTGCAGTCAGCGCCGATGGAAGGATTCTTAAGCAGCAGTCAGTTCATGCCCATCGAGAGTGGTGTTTTGTCTGTACATACCCAGCGGCGGAATGCATCTAGTTCAATCCAATTATCGTCGAGGACTTCCTGACAAGTCATGGAACCATCGTAGTCGATCCACCAAGAGCAGTAGGATGTGGTTGCTGGATCGAAAGCCAGGCTGGGTGTTTTCCCGCTGCGTGATTGGATACGTGAGGTCGCCGCCAGTCCTCCTGTACAGAGGCCGAGCACAGAGAGGGTGGTCACGGTACTGCCGAGCGTGAATGCGAACATGACTGACTAGTAGTGGAGAGGGCAGCAAGGCTCAGGTCGAGTAGAGGACTGAGTTGATGGACTTGACTCGTCCCTGTATTTTATGTGTAGATTCTGTATTGCCCCTGATGTGCTTGTGGGCACTTGCAGTGGTAGGAGTGTTGGCCCCCAGCATCCTAGTAGCGCTAGCCTTAGCAGCACCAGGCTTCATCATCTGGTGTCCATATGGAGGGATGAATGTAATCACCTGGTATAGGAGAGTCGCGTAGGTTCCGTCTCGGTCATCCTCGTTGATTCCGGCCTACCATTCTAGGAATTGCTGCCCAGGCCGATGGCAACCTTGATTTCAAGATCCTGGGAGCCAAGGCCGTAGTGTAGTAGTTACTCTACGATAACTGACGGCCTGATGCTCGATTTTGGCCACCAACACGAACTACACTTCAAAGAACCCTACGACTTTGTAAGGCGTTCCGTAACTCACTCTAATAGGCGAGCAGTGCAATCAATGCCCTTCTCAACGTTTGTTCCATTTGGGTGACGTCCACCTCGCTTCCGAGGCCAAGGGTGGGAGACTCGCCTCGACACTTCATATTTATTGCGTAAGCTGACAGCTTGTTTGCCAGCAACTAGTCTGTTACGCCCTGCATGACGGATCCTGCGCTCGTCTTACACTGTCGCACTCGCCGAGGCTCGGGGAATGGATGCGCACTTCTGTGGCTAAATAGACAGGGCTCTGCATGAACCCAATATAAAGCCGCTTAATCTATCTTGAGAACACCTGGGTAGAGTTCGGGTACCTTACATATGCAATTGCTGCAGGGGTCCACATCAACACGGGCCGTCTAGCTCCCGAGGTCTAGACAGCTTGGGCCATACATCAATTTAGCCGTTACCAAATCACTTCTTCCATTCGTGTGTATCGCATTCTTTGATTATCTAAATACGGTACCAGACTATCTCGCTAGATGGCTCTACATGCCTTTCGCCAGGCCGCTTATGCCATGGATGGCACCCACTTCCCCTGCACAATCCGCAGCAATCGCGGCTTGTGAGGCCTGTGTTGGTGACACTATCAGAAGGTCCTCAAAGCGACCCCTTTCAGCATTTCTTGCGCGCTGGCATGCTCAACGAATCGATGCCTCGTTGAAGCGCCATGATAGCCAGCCCTTCACCAAATTCGCGCTTCTGGATGCTACGGCCGCTTCCCATCCCGATATCTCTCTTCAGGCTGCTTTCGAGATCGTTGTTGTTGATGGACTTGGCAATGGCAACAATCTCCGCGCGCATGACCCCTCGCTTTGTGGATTGTACTCCTTCAATGGTGGCTATGGCGTCGAATTCATCGAAGTCTCCGCCTTGCCAGGAGATGGACTGCGTTTTCGCAGAACCCACACGGGCTTTGCTAAGTCGGCCGTTTATGTAGTCGAGCATGGCTTTGGCCTGCAGGCTGCGTCTGCTGAGTTGCGCAGCTTGCATTCCAGTGACAATCCTGCTGAGGCGTTCAGAATCTCCACTTGAGCGAAGGCTCGACATGTAGTCAACAAGCCGCTCAATTACGATAGCATGACCAGGGCGAGATTTCGTGTCCTCGTCGCGCCATAGTCCACCAAGGAGCTTTTTTGCATCGTAGACAAGATCATCTCGTTGATCCCAACCCTCTACGTCGTCAAGGCTGGGGTTCATGAGGTCTCCGAAACGACCATCGAGATTCGAAGCCATCCCAAGGCGGTCGATATGGATAACGAAGTCCTCAAAATTGCAATCTTTGCATCCTTTAGCAACCTTGAAGTTGCTGTTATCTTTCTCGTAATCGACACGATACATGTCGAAGAACATGAGTATTTCGTATGCGTTGAGCTCAGCAAGAACAAAGATGGGGCCAAAGGCCAACACAAAAAGGTACAAAAGCTTCATGTCGATTGATGAGGTCTGCGTTTTCTTGTCAAGAATAACCAGATAGTCAGAAGCAACTGAGGGGATTACTTGCAAACCACGTTGGGCGGTCCGAAATAAGAAGGAGAGGTGTAATGATTCCGCTCTTCACTCCTATTCCCGAGCTTGTCATCTTTTAATTACGATCCTAGTCAACAGTCTCGTGCCAACATCTTGGCAATGTTACCCTACACCTAGACCAATACATTGTTCACCCGTGCTAGCTCCGCACGACCCTGCAAGGATATTACCACAATCCTTCAGCACTCGAAAAATCTGACTGACAATAGATTAATCCCACTAGAAGTGCATGATACATGTGGCAAATGCTTGAGGCGCACTTCCAAGGGGCACATCTTGAGCATAATCGCTCAATTCCCTGATGCGGGTCTTGTCAGACCGGTTACTTATATTGATCACTGAGTAGACTTTGGTTTGCACAGAAGGTCATCTTCTTCATTCTCACCATCATTCATTCCTTTTGCTGCAAAGCCAGTTCGTGATTACGGATCTCATCTATCGTCTCTTCTTTTTCAACCCTATACACTCATGATATTTTTGTCATTCTGTTCGGCACGTCCTTGCACCATGTACTCGTCCGCTCTCTTCATTGTCTTCTTCACACTCATTTTTGGTGTTCAAACGCACGCTGAGAGCGACGCTGCGAGTCCTATAAATCCATGTCCTGTTCGATGTAGCAAGTCTGGATTGGATGCTCTGAAGTGGACGTATCTTCATGGCGTTGTCGCACTCAACCGATGCGAAAAGCCACTGCTTTTCAGCACTATGCTGGACATCCCCGTCAACTCTCCTGACAAGCACATTACTATTCGTGCCTGTACGGATTCCGAGGATGATACAAAACAGGCACCCGACTATGATCCTGTGCCGTTCACCTTTGGTACGCCGAAGAAGCGATCAGAAAGGTTGCAGTCTCCAGGCTGTCCATCAAATATGGCTCCGAAGTCTAATCAGACTTCAATTTACTACCATGGATGGCATACGAACCCGACCGAAACGGACAGCACGGCTAGTGATGAAGATGCCGCTGCTGCCCTTCGAACGCTGAAAAGCTACATCACTAAGACCGGTGACTGTAGACACATTACGATGTTCGCTAAGGTCGGATCGGCTACTGTGGGAGCTTTTGTCGGTCACGCGGTCGATCGAGAGGGCTTCAGCCCCGTAGTTGAGCGCCTCATTTCAGCAATACAGTCCAGTGGAAGTGGTGAAACCAACCGCTTCACCGTACAAAACTACAAGGAAACACACTCATCTTCCTTGGGTTTTGGCATCGTTGCGGACCTTCAGAACAATATCACCGCAGCACAGGAAGCAGTTTCTAGCTGGAGTCAGGGTAAAAGCCCCTCCGGCGCTGATACAACTTCTGGGTGGTCAGACTTCGACATCAAATACTGGCTGGTCAAAAGTATGAACAGCTCCTCAAATGCGACGGCGAACAACTCCACGAATCATTCTTCTAATGCTACCTCGTCTCTCAACTTGCATCGAAGGGCTACTTGTAGCTATCAAGAGGTATTTAGCGGTGACGATTGCTATGGATTAGCAGAACGATGTGGTATCAGCTTGACGAAGTTCTATAAATTCAACCCTGGAGAAGACTTCTGCAACAAGCTCAAACCTAAACAGTTTGTCTGCTGTTCGGCTGGCGACCTCCCTGACTGTAGGTGAAATCGCTGTCCTGGCTTTTGACCTGAGGACTAACATCTATCCGTAGTCCGCCCAAAGAAAAATGCTGATGGCTCGTGTTTTTCGTACGACATCAAGGATGGTGACGGTTGCTGGGCCCTTGCCGATGCGAATTATCTCACCACGAAGGGCATAGAAGATCTCAACAAGAACACGTGGGGCTTTGCTGGATGCGACAACCTTCAGCCTGGCCAGAAGATATGCCTTTCTGATGGTGAACCTCCAATGCCAAATCCCATCGAAAATGCCGTCTGTGGGCCGCAGAAGCCAAATGGAGAAGTTCGGGGCAACAAAAAGCTTGCCGATATGAACCCATGCCCCCTGAATGTTTGTTGTAACGTCTGGGGCCAGTGTGGAATGGACAAGGACTTCTGCATCGAGAACCCAGCTGATACAGGCGCTCCCGGTACATCGAAGCCAGGCATGAACGGATGCATATCTAATTGTGGAATGAATATCACCAACAATGCTAAAGGGCCAGCGAGCTTCGCCCACGTCGCCTACTTCGAGGCCTGGAATCAGGATCGCCCATGTTTGCATATGGACGTCACAGATATCGACACCAAGAAGTATACCCATATCCACTTTGCGTTTCCAAATGTTACTGCTGGAGATTTCAAAATCGACGTCGGTACGCTAAAGGACCAGTTCGATAAGCTGAAGAAGATGACTGGCATCAAAAGGATAGTGTCACTTGGCGGTTGGGCCTTCTCTGCGGATGCACCAACCTACACCATCTTTCGTCAGGCTGTCAGTCAAGCCAACCGTGCTACATTTGCAGACAATGTGGTTGCTTTCGTAAACGAGCATGGCCTTGACGGTATCGACTTTGATTGGGAGTACCCTGGTGCCCAGGATATCACGCCCGTTCCCGGCGCCGCCGACGAAGGCACCAACTATCTTGAGTTTCTGAAATTGGTCAAACGTCGTATGGGAAGCAAATCAGTCTCGATCGCGGCTCCTGCCTCGTATTGGTATTTGAAGGCGTTTCCAATCAAAGAGATGTCTAGTGTCATTGACTACATCATCTACATGACCTACGACCTGCACGGACAATGGGACTATGGTAACAAATGGTCAAGTCCAGGCTGCCCTGAAGGCGACTGCCTACGTTCACATATCAATATGACCGAGACAACTACTGCACTAGCTATGATTACAAAGGCTGGTGTTCCCTCATACAAGGTTGTGGTTGGTATAGCTAGCTATGGTCGCAGCTTCAAAATGGCCGAAGAGGGTTGCACGAGCGAGACGTGCAGATACACAGGCAGTAGGACTGTGTCAGATGCGATGCCGGGACCTTGCACTGGAACGGGCGGCTACATATCTTCTGCAGAAATTCGAGAGATTTTGTGGAACAAAGAGCTTCTTGGAGTCAAGGAATGGAGCGATGACACCGATACCGACTATCTCGTGTACCAAGACACGGAGTGGGTAGCATGGATGACCGACGAGACCAAGCAAAACCGAATCAACAAGTACACAAAACTCAATTTCGGGGGAGTGTCGGACTGGGCTGTCGACCTCGACAAGGACTATGGCGATAGCGGCATTGGTAACAACGGCGAAGACGACGACAACCAAACGGGTGGTAAGAATTGCCCCCTCACCAAGGAATACGCAGATC